GAGAAAGAATTCAGAGAAATAGTCATAAGGTGGCTGAAAAGAATGGAAGACAAATTCAACAATATGTGTAAAAACCAAGAGGAAATGAAGAAAAACCAAGAAAAAATGAAAAAAATAACATCGCTGCTATAAAGAACTCCATAGAAAGCATCAACAGTAGACTAGAAGAAGCAGAGGACCACATCAGTGAGCTAGAGGACAAGGTAGATAAAAATGCCCAAGCAGAGCAGCATCTAGAAAAAAACAAACAAAACAAAACAAAACAAAAACTTAAAAAATGGGAGGAGAGCCTAAGAGAACTTTAGGACAACACAAAATGAAACAAAATCTGCATAATAGGGATGATAGAAGGAGAGGAAACTGAACAAGGAATAGAAAACCTGTTTGAAAAAATAATGACAGAAAACTTCCCTGATATAGGGAAGAAAAACCCACACAAATCCAAGAAGCTTACAGAGACCAAGCAAAAGGAACCCCAAAAGATAGACGCCAAGGCACATTATAACTAAATTGGCAAATACCAATGACAAAGAATCTTAAAAGTGGCCAGAGAGAGACAGAAAGTTACATACAAAAGAACCCTCATCAGACTAGCAACTGATTTCTCAACAGAAGCTAGTCAGATCAGGAAGGAATGAAATGAAATATACAAAGTCATGCAATGTAAGAGTCTGAATCGAAGAATACTGTAACCAGCAAGGCTATCAATCAAAACTGAAGGTGAAACCAAGAGCTTCACAGGCAAAAAAGGACAAAGGGAATTTATTACCACCAAACAAACAATGCAAGAAATGCTAACGGGTCTGCTTAGAAATAAAGAAAGAAAAAAAGAAAGAAAGAAAGAAAGAAAGAAAGAAAGAAAGAAAGAAAGAAAGAAAGAAAGAAAGAAAGAAAGAAGGAGAGAAAAAGAGAAAGAAAAGAAAGAAAAGAAAGAAAAAAAGAAAGAAAGAAAGAAAAAAGAGAGAGGGAGAGAGAAAAGAAGGAAGGAAGGAAGGAAGGAAGGAAGGAAGGAAGGAAGGAAGGAAGGAAGGAAGGAAGGAAGGAGAAAGGAAATAGGAAGGAAGGAAGGAAGGATGGAAGGAAGGAAGGAAGGAAGGGGAAAAAAGAAAGAAAGAAAAGGAAGCAAAGAAGTAACACAGGGTTAAAGAATAAAAATGTTGACAAACTATTAATAGAACCTATCAATAATAACTTAGAGGGAGAAACCAAGATGGCGCCATAGGTAAACACCTGAAATTGCTGCCTCGAACAACCACTTCAAAACCACAACTAAAACCACATCATCCAGAACCACAGAAAGGCTGGCTGAGTGGAAAGTCTACAACTAGAAGGAAAGAGAAAAGCACACTGAGGCTCACAGGAGCTGCAGAAATAAAGTACAGAGGTTCAGAGGTGCACATGCAGAAATGGCAGGCAACTGAATACACAGCTAGCTTTTTCAATCTGGAGGGAGACACAAGCTCATGACTTCTCTGAACTCCGGTTCCAGGCAAGACCCTTGGAGACTCAGATTCATATGGGGGGGGAAATGGACTATCTGGCATCAAGTGGAACATGAGGGCAGCTTTCTCTCAGAGGTGCTTGCAGTAATTACCAGAAGACACTGAGACCTGGGGTCTCTAGAGTAGGGCCAAAGATCAGCATTGCTGTTTGCTCCACCTTGAGACCCCACCCCACCCAAGATGTGTCAGAGGTTTTTGCATATAAATGGTCTGGTCCTTTGAAATCTAAAATTACCTAACAAATTGCAGCTGGGTCAGAGAGACCCAGAACATTCAAAAGAAGGCCTAAGGCCCCACAGCTGCTTGCACTGCTTCACAGCTGGGCCTCAGCTGGGCACCTTCAAATCCCAAACAAAGAAGAGGAATCTGCAGATCTCTCTGTAGCTCCTGCTGGGTGGCCTTAGAAAGAGGCTAAATTATTACTCCCTTGGAGATCCAAGAGCCAGTGTATCTAGTGGTCAGAGTGAGACCATCCAGATTATAACTCCTCAGATCCATAAGGGACACACTCAGCGGGCAGACTCAGTGAGCACCAAAGTCCCATTGAAGCAAGTCTTGTCTCATAAGGGTGTCTCCAGCACAGAAGTGCTCCCATTTAGTCACAGCTGATCCGCATAGCCAATTGGCCTGGAGGTCAATTCTTCCCAGTGATTCCAACAACAATCAAGGCTTAACTACAACAAGATTGTGCCCACAGCCCACAAAAGGGATGCACTAAGAGTGTCCACCTTAGGTAACTGGGGAGGCTGAGCGACTGGGCCCTATAGGACACCTAAAACACTGCCACCACCTGGTGAAAAAAATAGACTTAGAAGTCCAGGAAATGCAGAAAACTCCAAACAAGGGGAATACAAAGAGGACCACACCAACACACATCATAATTAAAATGCCAAGGGCAAAAGACAAAGAGAGAATATTAAAAACAGTGAGAGAAAAACAGTTAGTTATCTACAAGGGCATACCCATACAACTGTCAGCTGATTTCTCAACAGAAACTATGCAGGCCAGAAAGGAGTGGCAAGAAATATTCAAAGTGATGAATATCACAAGAACCTACAACCAAGGTAACTCTACCCAGCAAAGCTATCATTCAGAATTGAAGGTCAGATAAAGAGCTTCACAGATAAGAAAAAGCTAAAGGAGTTCATCACTGCCAAACCTGTATTATTTGAAATGCTGAAAGGTATTCTTTAAGAAGAGGAAGAAGAAAGAAAAGGTAAAGATAAAAATTATGAACAACAAATATATATCTATCAACTAGTGAACCTAAAAATCAAGTGAATAAAAAATCTGATGAACAGAATAAACTGGTGAATATAATAGAATCAGGGCCATAGAAAAGGAGTGGACTGACAATTCTCAGCGGGGAAGGGGTGTGGGGAGTGCAGGAAGAGCCTGGACAAAATTTGTACACTTATGGATGAGGACAGTGGGGGAGGAGGGGTAAGGGCAGGGGGTGTGGTGGGTACCAGGTGGAGGGGAGCTATGGTAAAAAAAATAAATAAATAAATAAATAAAAAGGAGTAATTATAATAATCTGAACTCTGTTTGGCTCTAGGCTAGTTTGTTCATCTTTCTAATTCTCAATACCCAATTATGGAGCTCACAATCATAGTATCTTCCACGTAAGGTTGTGATGAGGTTAATTGAGCTAATAGCTATAAAGACTTGGACACAGGGTAAGCTCTCAAAAAGTATTACTTATGATGATCTAAAATTAGGGGAATAATGTGAAAAGTTGCAATGCAAAAATATATTTCTCTAAGTCTGGGTCCAAAATGTCCTTCCTGGGAATAGACTTGGTGTGTTACCTTGCCCCAACCATACTCCCACACAAACACGTTTCTGCCTTGCCAGCTCCATCACGAGCTTTTTCTCCTTTCCAACGTCTATTCTGAGAGCCTAGCACATGGCAAAGAAATTATCCATAACTATTTGTTGATATTCATTGCGCTTTTCCCAAATAGTGCTTAGAAAAAAATCTCGATGTAGAGTGGGTGAGATTACTGTCTGCTACCTCCTTATGAGGTGTCAATATTGAGAAAGAAGATAGCTTACCAAAAAGGACTCCTGGTGACTAACTGGTCTCAAATGTAAAAATAGAGCCTAGCAGCCATTTCTAAACAGGGGCCTTTCATGCAAACCAGATTCAGGGATAAACCTGCACTAATCTGCCTCCCTAAGCTGTTTCCACCAACTGAGCCAGCCCTTAAAAAGGAGTGCCTGGAATAGTATTTCAACCAATAAGACTGAAACTTATCTTGTCCAATCAGAGCCATACTGTTATAGCCTTATTAGCATTTTCACTAACCAATTAGAACAGCTACATACAACCAATCATGATGAATTAAATGATTTGGACCAATTAAATAGTGAAGATTTGGAGTCCTTATTTACATGAGAACAAACCAATCAGTGGTCAGGGGCAGGGACTTCTCTTTATATGTCAGTTTTCCATTGGCTGGGAGAGCCCAAGTTCTCTTATGTGAAGGATACTGAGGGTGAGATTTTCTGATTGGAGCTGAAACGCCATAGGTCTTTTGTCAGGGCAGCTCACAGCAGGGTGAGTTGAAGCAGACCAGCTTGAATCAGCTCCGACCTGAGCTGTCTAGCCAGAGAAGGGCCTTGCCCGAGGGTAGTCTTTTGCCATGATCAACCTCACAGTAGTGCTATTCCATAATTGAGTTGTAACTTTATTGAGTTGCTCCATAGTCATGCTGTCCCACAACTGTGCTGTATCATGATAGCTGTTGGCATTGAATAAAGCCCACTTTTTCACTGCAACCCAAATTGGGGATTCCTGTTGGTGGTGAACTGATGCCAATAACCATGGGCGGAGGGTTGACAGGGAAAATGGGCTATGATATTGTTCGGCAAACTCATTAGTCAACAGAGCCAAATATCAACAGTACAACAGTTGAAATTTCTCTTGAGAGCCAAATTTTTAACAATTAAACTCCTTCTAACGCCACTTTTTCAAAATAGACTCTCCTAGGCCGTGGTATTTTGTGGAAGAGCCACACTCAAGGGGCCCAAGAGCCGCATGTGGCTTTCGAGCCGCAGTTTGCCGACCGCGGGGCTAGGACAAAGACTATCTACTGTGGGCTGGCGCTATGAGGAGTGACTTTCCTCCCATAGGACTTACCTAATGAGCAGTCTGCATCCAAGGGTGGCCAGAGGCCAAAAGTAGCTGAGTGTTCGGCTCCTTTAAGAGGCATGGCCTCCCTGCAGCCCGCTGAGGGAGTGATTGGCCAAGGCTCCCCCTCCGGTGCAACTCGGTTGCTAGGGAGCAGCGTCCCTCCCCCTCCGCTCCCCGCCCCGCTGAGCGGCTGCGCAGAGGAGCCAGGTGCTGGCGGGCAGGACTGTGCAGGGCCGCCGGGGGCTGGGGGAGCCGCTAGCAGCCTGTGCGGATCCCAGCCGGCAGGCGCCCTCGCATTGAGGCCTCGCTGGGCGGGCGCATCCGGCTCCCGGAGCAGGGCCCCAGCGACTGCGGGCGCCATGGGCCAGTGCGGCATCACCTCCTCCAAGACCGTCCTGGTGTTTCTCAACCTCATCTTCTGGGTGAGCGCGGCCGTGGGCGGGGGCGGCGGGGGTGCCGCGCCGAGGCCTCGGCGGAGGCGTCTGAGGGGTCCGGCGGGGTCCGGCGGGGACTGAGGGGGGCGGGGGGGCTGCAGCAGCCGCTCTGGGTCGGGTGCCGGCCTAGGACGGAGGGACGCCAGGCCTTGTGCCTGGAGGGCGGAGGAGGGAAACCCTGAGGGGCTCCCGGCGGCCCCCGCGTCGGGCCTCAGCGCTTGGCTGCCCCTGGGCGGGGGGCTTCCCGCGGAGGGGCTCGGCCCGGCCTCAGGTTCTTCCCCGGAGCGGCCTGCCGGGCAGAGAGCTTTCCGTGCGGAGTCCTCCCGGACCGCAGGCTGGGAAGAGGCTATTTACCCCCGTAAGGGCCAGGCTCCGCTCTTGTCGGCCTGCAGCTCCGGGGCCCAGGCTTGTGAGCAAACGGTGCACACAAGCGGGGGCGCTGCCAACTCGGTGAGGACTTGGACTCAGGGCTCTTTGTGAATGGAGGACTGGTTGGCCGGTTAGCAGCCCCAAAACCGAATGGCTTAGACTTGTTAAGTCAAATTACCCTTTGATAAAGAAAATAAAACTATTTGGGTCATGGGTGTGGAAAACCTGAGATTATAAACCTTGGTTAAATATGACTCGGGTGTCACAAGATTTAAAAACCCATGAGCTCACTTTCAATAAATGGTGGCTTATGAGTTTTTTTTAAAACACACTCAAACTCATGTAGATAGCCACTTCATCCTAGTTCAAGTTCTTATCTCACCAGGGACTTTTGTAAAAACCTGTATTGATTACTTTTGTAATCTAATCCTCTGGACCTTTGCACCTGGATAAAGCTTATTTAGCATTCTTCCCTTGCATCACTTTATTTATAAAACAAACAAAGCCCCTAAAACATTAGCAGTAAAGTAAGGTTCAGTCTCTTGATGTCCTCAATCACCTTTTCTTCCCCATAACTGGCCATATTCTTTTTTTTTAAATATATTTTTTTATTGATTTTTTACAGAGGAAGGAAGAGAGATAGAGAGCTAGAAACATCAATGAGAGAGAAACATTGACCAGCTGCCTCTTGCACACCCCCTTGGATGTGCCCGCAACCAAGGTACATGCCCTTGCCTGGAATCGAACCTGGGACCCTTCAGTCCGCAGGCCGAAGCTCTACCACTGAGCCAAACCTGTTTCGGCAATAACTGGCCATATTCTTAAATACTTGCTGCCCTGGACAGACTTCTCTTTCCACAGTCCCAGGGTACTCCTGGAACATTCGAACTTCCTATACTTTGTATGTCCCCAAATTCTTGCCACACACATACCTATTTTGGAAAAAAAATATTTTCTTCTTACAACTCCCATCTTCCCCTCTCCTCTCAAGGAGGAAACTTTTTATATCCCCACTGGTGTAGCATATATAATAAGGCACCTATACATACACGTGCAATGTAATAATCTTTTGGGGTATTTATGGTGTGATGGGAAGAGTCCTGACTGATAGTACCTATTCAGAATCTCTCACGTGACATTGGGGTTTTCATGATTTTTTGTTGTTGACACTATTACAGATGTCCCTTTACCCACCTCCATCCATACCACTCCCCTCTTCCCATCACTACATTCATGATTTCTTCTTCTCTAATTAGTGTTTTTCATACATTAGTTTGAGTTACAAGCCTTTTTAAAAGGTATTTTCAGGAATCCCCGAATAAATACTCTATTATTAATAAGATACTTCGGGAGAGACTTCACTTTGTAACTGTTAGTTTCTTGTGATTTTTATGGGCATGACTTTTAATTTTGAAGAATCAGATGAATTCTAGGCTATTTAACCTCAGGGACTGGAATCAAATATTGGAAATACAGGGCCATTTTCTTTAAATAAATAATTAGATTTTTATTTACTCTTAAATATCAGTTAATTCTAAGTGATTGTTTAGGAATCTTTGGAAATTGTGCTAGCATATGTACTTTTGGTACTTTCTTCAGTGAAAAAGGTTATGTTGAACTTCAGTTGTGCATTTCTTAGTGGGTTATTCCAGGCCTAAAGTTATACTATGTAGTAAAAAATACTCTTTATCTAAGTTAGCAAGGATAGTAAAGCTTTTATGAGCTGTGATAAGGAAGCTAAGCAGACATGCAGAGAAAAATATTATGGCATAGAGCAGATTAGTGCAACCTAACTTATTCGAAAACAGTATTATTAGATTTGTCTCCCCCCAGATGTTTAGTTTAGGGACAGACATTGGAATTTGATGATGGCAATGATAGCTAACATTTGAGTGCTTATTACACCTAGGCACTGTGATAAGCACTTTACATGGAGTGTTCGCACATCAGTCTGGCAGGAATATTATTATACTTTTTTACAGATGAAAGCATTAAGGGTTCATGAGGGCATTAAGGGGGTAACAGAGCCTGCATTCAAACTCAAGTTGTTCTATACTTAGAGCCCATAGTGTTAGAGCAAAGTGATTTCAGAAGATTTGGAAAGGGAAAGGACCTTATTAGGTTATGTTAGAGTCACTTTCTTTAAAACATACTGATTTTAATTTTGTATAGAACCTATAATAGTATTTAAAATGCACTATTTAACTTGTCATTTAAAAAATTAGGCCATTATGAGGGAATACATAAAACAGATGTTAATTGGTTCTCTCTAGCAATTTGTAATGTATTCTTCAGTTTTAATAAGTGTATCCTTATATACTGGTTCCCTCCCTCCTTTTAAGGCCTTAGTGAATAATTGAAAAAAACAAATATTCCCTGCAAAGGGCATATTAAAAGCTATTTTAGGTTGCCTTGGGAAACTTTTTAACTTGTGTACTGGCTCCTCACTATCAGGTGGTAATGGTGATTGTGGTTAAGTATTAACGCTTAATTGCTTTGGCAAGATCTTTAAACTGCATCTTTTAATATCTTGATATCCTAATTAATTTGGGAGTTGGTTCAGTGAGCTGTGATGTGGAAATGGTATGTTCTTGACATATGTAGGCTCCACACTGCATTGACTTAGGCTACGTTATTTTGGACAGTGGAGTCTAAGAAAGTCACTGTGGAAAGCCACACAATAAAAGGGGAAATAACCGGTCCTAAAATCCTCTAGGTTGTCCAGTGGAAACAGAGTTCCTCATCATTAGTGCTGTGGCATGAAAGATGATTTTGGGCAAGGGAAAGGATGAACACCTTAGATCTCTTTGTTTTTATGGAGAGGCATAGCTTTAAAATGTAAGTATATTAGTGCTTGACCCACGATGGTCGATGGAGCATTATTAGTGTTTGGTTCATGATTAAATATTGAATGCTATTGAAACAGTTACTAACTACACCTTTGTACCAAAGTCATACTGGACTCTTACTTGGGTAGGTCACTTGCTATGACCCAGGAGGCTTCATCTAAAGCAAGTTTAAATCAGTACTTTTTAATGTTCAGGGTAAAGTTATTTGAGTACTTAATCATGTTATAAAAATTACCTTTATTTAATCTACCCTATGTGAAAAACCAATTGGCTAGTATTAATTTTGCTCATAAGTGTCTTATGCTTTATAGAACTGCAAGAGAAAGCTTTGTCCATGCTTGTAGAAATTATGCTCTGGCACATCTAGTTAGGCTATTGTGTTTCATCTGTATAAGAGGTAATAGTAACATGAAAACTCCTATGAGTAGGAAGCACCACAAGAAAGTCAGACACCTTTTAAATTGGCTTTAGAAACAGCTTTAGAATGTGGCACCTTTACTAATTATCATTTGCTCATATGAAAAACTCTATACATACAAATAGTATTTGGAGCTAGAACAAATGATTCAAAAAATTTATATGCAACCACAAAAAACCCTAGAATAGCCACCGCAGTCTTGATTAAAAAACAACAAAATTGTAGGTATCGCAGTACCTGATATCAAACTATACTACAAAGTTATAGTAATCAGAACAGAGGGGAGGCAGTTTAGGGGACTGGATGAAAAAGGGGAAGGGAATAAGAAGTATTAATATAAATTGTTAGTTACAAAATAGTCACAGGTATGTAAAGTATAGGGAATATAGTCAGTAATGTAATAACTGTGTATAGCGCATGTGGGTACTGGCAATGTTGTGAAATGTATGATTGTCTGACCACTGTGCTTTACACCTGAAACTAATACAAAACAATATTGAATGTAAATTGTAATTTAAAAATTTAAAGGAAAAACAATAGTTGCCTGGGTTCAGGATAGAATAGGCAGAGAGCTACATTTAGCTAGGGATTAAGTTTTCCCAGGGAAGTACAACTAATTTATGGGAACAAAAGAATTGAGGGTTTATATAAGGGCATGCTTTTGAAGAGAGATCACAGAATCTGATGCAGGTAAAGAGGGAGATGAACACATGAGGGAACTAGTGCATTCACCTCTTAGAAGTATGCCCAGGCCTTTCCCTTTTCCCACTTCTTACCCCACACTCACGCATCTTCTAAACTCCAAGGGACTTCATGAGACTTGCAAGCAGAGGATCAATGGGCAGCAGCAGCAGCTTCTCCAGGCTAACCCTCTGAACCTGTCTCCAAGGCCTCCTTTTCTCTGACTCCAGGGGGCTGACAGCAGCCCTGCCTTTGCTCTCATTTGTTTCCCATAACATTTCTGGTCTCTCTTTTCTTGCTTCTACCCTTGGTCCTTCCTTGTTTCACTGTCCCCAGCTTTTATAAATGTACTCTCAAAATCACACACACACATACACAAGAAAAGAAAACATGAGGGAACTGAGGGGCACTTTCAAGGGGTTAGGGTCAGTGGTTTGTAGGTCCTGGTTGAGGTAGAAAAATCATTGGAATGTTAGAGAGAGTGTCATGATCTAACAGTGGGATTTTTGAAATTGAGATTACAAAGGCTGGTAATCTTTGGTACAGACAAGATCAAAGATTTGACCTTTGCAGTAGGTGGCTATGGTAGATTTCAAGGTCTGTGTTAGAGTTGGTCACAGGGTATAAGATGTCAATATCCAAAGATGGTTTTAGTCTCAGCAGGAAATAAG